ATCTGGCCGGCGGTAGTAACACTCGCGGTGCTTACCGCCACTGTTGCTGGAATTTGGCTTGTTCCAGGCGCGCTTAATTAGGTACAGGCACCGTAAGACGGTGGGGCTGTCTTTGTTACTAGACACGACCATGATAGTCCGATCTTTATGTGAATGCAATGATTGTGTGTGTGTAATTAAAATGAAGTTAGAACTTGAAGCACAGTATCTTTACACGCCCTGGGAGCAGTAATGGATTTAGCTCTTTGTATGTTTTATGCTTGTGACGCGCCCTCATTGTATTAACCGTTGCCTAATTATAATGTCTGCACAGTAGGTCTGGCGTTGACGCTTGGGATTTTGTTGAAATATATAAAACTTCACGGAGAATTGTCGCCTATGGCTTCTTGTTTAAGTGTTTTGGTAGGTATGTCAAGCTTTCCTGCTCCAGCATTGGAATGCGGGGCATAAACGCTTCTTTTTATCTTGAAAATCAACAGTTTGCATTATTGCATTATGAAATCAAAAATCCCAAGCAACAATGTAAGGGATAGCTATCCAACTGTTGTCACTTCATACTAAAGTTATATCAATGTAAAGAATTTCCCTTGTATTTCTCCTACTTTCCCTGCCATGTCGTGAAATGTGGTGAAGTCATGCTGAATTTGCTCCAAAGCAAATGTCGGCCTTTCTAGTATTACTAGTATTAACCTCCTTGCCGCGACAAAACGAATTTTGGCATCATTCTGAAGTAAACGCAAAACTTCACACTTCTTCTGTTCTCTGTTGGTAAGAACGTCATCGTCGTGGGAGAAATGTAAAGTTTTGCGTTTACTTCAGAATGATGGCTTCATCTCAAGTATAATTTATGCGTCGAGTTCGACCAGAGAAGTATTTACGTACCTACATTGGGACCATGCAGTTCCATCTTACACTGTTAGGGGGCGGGATTAACGTTAACACGGAACGTGTCACAAAGTCGGATAGATCATACAACCTTGGTCTCACCAACTTCGAGCCTTCTTCTGTCGGCAAAATTTGACAAACACTAGTACCTGCAGTTCAGGTTACGGATGAAAGGGGTCATCTCTGATCATGTCCACGATCATCATCATCACCCATCACCATATAGATGCGCATCATTTATGTTCAAGTAACACTGAGCAATAATGGCTTTTGGTACCCAATTGCCTTGTGCGGGCTACATGTACATGTAACATCCCTCACTCACATTAAACACTTCCTGCTATTGTATGATTCGACGAATTTGAATGTTTGTCTCCTTATGAGAATTGATTAACATTACCAACAAGACAAAGGACATTTTCACCACCTTTAGACTGTTTATTACCAGAAATTCTGCATATCACAGAGGTGGAAGCTCAAAAATGATATCTTACAATCCAGTCATCCATATACTGCATACTTTGGACGGGAAAGAATTTAGGCCTGTGATGCCAGTCCTTTTATTCACAAGGTACATGTATGTAAAAGCATTAAGACCTCTTATCAGAATTTAAAAGCAATCTTGACTGTAGGTTGCCTTCACTCTCATGTATGGGATGACAACACTAGAACAGGATCTTCCAAAGGAAAACATTCACTACTACCAATACTGAACTTAAATATCATGTGACAGGTTTGAAAGTATTGAGCTGTAACTCACAAACATAAAATGTGACGTGGCACTATGTTCTTTATGCTTTTGATTTGAGTAGAGGCATGACCAAGTTTCTATATCAAAGGGGAATGGTATTGGAACAAAGTTATAAAAGAATCGGATCGATGCAATGGAATGCAATTGTTGGTATTGCTACTTGTGCACTCATTTTGTTTCATAACTGTTATTGCAATCTCAGTGTGCTTTGCAAACCTCACAGACAGACATGGCAACATGAGTACTAGTTTTGATTAGGGACATTAAATGCAGCGAGGATCAGTATTTGAGGAGAGTTACAACTTAAGTAGGTTAAAGAACCTGCCACACTTCAAAAAGAGTAGGGGTCCTTCCTGGTGTGTGTGGGGTAGGGAGTTTCTCTTTGTAACCCCTGCTTTACCTATTGAGTCAGTTTGACTAAGGCCACACCAATTTAATTTCTTGGTTAACGGATTCACCTGCTTCATTTTTTTCTGATTTGCAAATAGAAATAAAAATTCAGAATCAACTGCAAAATGCTCATATTTTGCCCTGAACAGTTGAAAACTGTCCTTTTCATCCTAGTTGTTACAGTTATTCCATCTTTCAATGCAATGGTATCATTAAAAGTTTCATTGTTTAAATTTTGAACCAGCCTGGTGTGTTGACTTCATGACTCCTATTGTACCATTTTGGGCCATAATAGTATGCCTAGGCCTGTTTTTTTTTGCCCGCCCGCTCCATTATTTTTCTAGGAAAATCCGTTAACCAAGAAATTAAATTGGTGTGGCCTAAGTTTAAGCTTGATGTTTCTGACTTTGGGAGTACAGCTACTGTAGTGAGATTTGGTTCAGCGGTCCATGTGGCCTTGCAATGAGCAAAAATCGTTAAAAAAGGAACGGAGCACTTTTGATACAAAAACATTGATTTGTTGTCAGTTTTCACAGAATGGTGTATCTTTATTGGGCAAATTTTTTGTGGGAATCAAAAGAAGGCACACTTGTATGTCAATGATTGCTGCAATCATTCTCAGATATACAAAATTTTGGACGAGCTTACTTCCTACCAGGACATGTCAATGAAACAAGTCCTTCTGCTACAGGTTACATCTCAAGGAATGTTTCTTACAAAATAAGAAAGCTTTTCTATTAATAAGATTCATTGTCTTGAAAGTTCCATAACAATAATACTTTGTAGTGCTCTCTGGAATAAGCTACATAAAATCAAACAATACAGAGTTGTACAGTTGCTGTAGTGATGACATAACCAGATTGTCATGAAACTGACAATTGTTAAGTACAATATTTGTACAATTCTGGTAGAAGTTACTAGTAGTATGTATATGCCTCATGTTGGGACATGTGTCAGTGCTGAGATTTTTAAGGTATCCAATGCAATTTCAGGGCAGCAAAACTGGATCTACAAAGTCTATTTTCTGGTAACTCTTTTAATGTAGTAAGTTGAATCAATCCTATCCCATAGCATACTGATACATGTACATGTATCTGGGAGGCAAAAATGTGGTGTTGCTGACAGTTGCTTGTTTTGGGGCTACCAAATGCTTCAAGCATGAAATGATGACGAAAATGTGCTACGAAATAGGAAAAAATATCAATATCTGACAGATTTTTTCATCCAAACTATGTTTTGTTTTCAATTGCTGCCCTGAAATTGCATTGGATGTCTTTAAGATGTTTGCTAGAGAGGGTCGTGATAAGAAGGGACAGGTTTTAAAAAACATCTTCCTATAATTTCCTTCAGACCTGAGAGGACGTATTAAAGTTCCTTTACAATGGTGGGTTTTTAACACAACAGACAATGATTTCTACATTCCCAACGCTACTCTTGTTCTAATACTCAATCTCAACATCTTCCATTGATGCAGCCTCTTTCTCAACAGCAAATGGATTTTTGACTTTCTTGTGTCCAGCATCCGCAATCTTCACCTCCTTCACAGGTCTGTCTCTGCCGTCTGTCTTGGTGTTTTCAACCTTCTTCACAACGCTCTGGAAGAAAAACATGGGGATTTAGGATGATACCTCAGAACATAATGTGTTAACATCAATGTGAGTAGTGTTCTAGCCAGCCTGATCATTCACATTTTCATGTTTAAAGGACAAATACAGTAATTTCAGTTTTGGTGCCTTTAAACCCAAAATCCTACTTGCAAAAGGTGATCCATTGGTTTCTACTACATGTACTCCCGCACACGTAGGGGTGATATTTGACCCAAATCCATGTTCATATCTGATGACTGCCTATTTCACCAGGAGGATGTGATGACATCATGAGTATGAGTAGTATTAATCTAATTTACTCTATAGTATGAAATATGTCCTTTGGATAAGATATGACGAATGTTGTGATTGTAGAAGGACTGACATGACATGCTGACAACAGCCTACCAAATTCTCTCTCAGGTGATTATTCATTCTCTGACTTCTCTTTATCCTTTTCTTTTCATTGAGATGTTCTTTCATGTACTCTTGTTAACAGAGTAGTGATTTCATGGCTAGGTAATTAGATTAAGAGGACCGATGATGTCATCACAGAATCCTGGTGGAATAGGCAGTCATCAAATGTGAACATGGATTTGGTCAAATATCACCCCTAAGTGTGCGGGACTGGCAAAAACCACTGAATCACCTTTTGCAAATAGGATTTTGGGTTAAAAGACACCAAAGCTGAAATTACTGTATTTGTCCTTTAAGTTAACAAGTACATGAATAACCATAGTGCTTACCAAAACATGTTCCAGTCATTCCAACTGCTTATATTACAGTTACACTATAGCATTATAGTAACATCATTTTACAAAACAAGGTGAACAATCAGGATCATGAGTGACAAAATTATACCATCAACATATTTTCCTTTCTCTTATAAGGAGTTGATAAATACTAGCATTATAAGTTGGTTTAATTTACTTTATATTTTTAGTCCTGTGGTCCATTGCTAGATACCTGTATAGTCAAACTTGTCTATGACACCCAACTGGGAGACCAACGAAATGTGGTCTTTTTAGACAAGTGGTCTTGTTATTCAAAAGGCATGGCAACAAGACAAGACAGAGAACAAGAAACCCACAGGAACAGACTGCCCCAATGACTCAAACTGACCCAGTCAGCACCTTTTTACATTGCATGAAGACTGTACAGTGTTGAATACAATGGTAAACTTGCCGGCTTCATCAAGATTTCTCACTAGTAATCATCAAGTCAAGAAACGTTTTCTGCCACACACTTGAGACAAATGACTAGTGGTTGTCATTTGCGGACAGAAATAGTGCCGGTTGTGGTTGCGTTGGGCAAGTAGTTGGCCTAGTCAAGTCTATGGGGGAAAATTGGGGCCAAGAAAAAGCGGTTATGACCAGATGGCCGGCTTATAGAGGTGCCTGGACAAGTTTGACTGTAATACTCTTGTATCGAAGCAGGCCTTACCATGCCCTTCAGAACTTTTCCAAAGACGACATGCTTGCCGTTCAGCCAGTCTGTCTTTGCCACGGTAATGAAGAACTGGGAGCCGTTTGTGTTCTTCCCAGCGTTCGCCATGCTCAGCCAACCTTGGCCATAGTGACTCAGCTTGAAGTTCTCATCCTCAAAACGGTCGCCATAGATGCTCTTGCCTATATGATGTAAAAACAGGATTTGTTCATGTAACAGTAGTTCTACATGTATGACATTAGGCCACACCAATTTAATTTCCTGGTTACAGATTTTTCTAGAAGAATAATGGAGCGGGCGGGCAAAAAAAAAATAAAAATAAAAACAGGCCTTAAGGCATCCTAAATGATACAATAGGAGCCATGAAGTTAACACACCAGGCTGGTCCAAAATTCAAACAATGAATTTTGAACTTTTAATGATACCATTGCATGGAAAGATGGAATAACTGTAACAACAAGGATGATAAGGACTGTTTTCAACTGTTCAGGGCAAAATATGAGCGTTTTGCAGTTGATTCTGAATTTTTATTTTTATTTGCAACTCAGAAAAAAATAGGGGCAAATCCGTTAACCAAGAAATTAAATTGGTGTGGCCTTAGAGGAGATTTCTTTAAGACATCCAATGCAATTTCAGGGCAGAAAAACTGGATCTTCAAAGTCAATTTTCTGGTCTATGTAGTAAGTTGAATCAATCCTATCCCATAGCATACCGATATCTGCGAGGTAAAAATACAATGTTGATGGTGGAAAACGGGTGCTTGTTTTGTATCGTAGGCTGGTTTTAGCTATTCATGGGTTTTACCGAAAAAATAAAGAGAAAACTCTCATAGATTGTTTCAAAGATTTCAAGTACAAATGTGTAATGTATGAAATGATGAAACAAATGTGCAGAAAAGGAAATGGCAGAAAATGTCAATATTAGACAGATTTCCTCATCCAGAATTTTTTTTGTTTCTTTTGAAGATCTGAAATTGCATTGGATGTTTTTAAGAAGCAAAGAAAAGAAAAGGTTAGAGTTAACTTAGAGTAATGGGGAAAGAGGAGGGCTAACAGCACTAGGTGATGACTTGTAACGATAACAAAACTTGTGTAAAACTGTCATGTCAGACAACATTATAACATGTACAAGCATTCATTGCTTCGACTTCATGCACAACAACAACAAAAATCCCCAAGCAGTGATTTAGTCAGCTAGCAGGCTTTCCATCTGAAAACATCCCACAAGGGGCACAATGTTGTTTGAAGAGAGGTTGGAAGGACACTCCAAGAGAAGGTTATGGCCTCACCTTCACTCGGCCACAAGGCCTCTACTACTGAATACATCACGTGAAACAGAACAAACAAAGGATTAATGTTCATGATTTTTCGGCCTGTGCCGGCTATCCCTAGTGCCATAGGGTTCCTTTGTCTTCCTTCTTTGCGAATCTTTTCTTCGCTGGCTTTAAGTCGTTCTATTTGTTTCCAGCTCGGAGGCCCTTCAAATCCCTCTGTGATAGCGTCTTTTGTAGTATGCATGGCAGAGAGGGACAGAAAAGAAGATAAGAGCTGTATCAGCAAGTGTTAAATGATACAGTTTGTAGCTACATATAGCTAGATGCACCTGATGGTACACGTATGACATAACTTACTCCTTGGAAAAGTGTCTAATGAGATGATCTTGTGGGCAAATTAAAGGATGCTCAGAAAATGAAAGTGGAAAAATTAACAAGTAACGACGTTATGCCATGATAGTGGGAACAAAAGAAACTGAAGAATAAGATTGTCACAGATGTGTAATTGAGTAACAGACAACCAAAACAAGCCCAGATTATTTGAACATTAATCTTACCAGAGCTCCAGTACTGATTCATGTGTTGGGTGATGAGGCAGGGTTATCTAGTTACTTTGCTGTGGTATGTATAATGTTACATGTAATGCTAAACTGTAAATCTACAAATTTCCGCGGTATATTTAGATTCGCGGAATTCGCGGGGACCTTTGTACCGCGAATCTTTTTCCCCGCAGATATGTTTTGCGTGTGCCCCTCTCCCCACATGCATTCACGACGGACTTCGAGTTCAAGTGAAACACACGCGATCCACAAATCACCGCAAATCATTTTTTTTAGCAAATGTACGTAGTTGAGTACTGTAGCAAAATGTATGTATCATGTGAATGCATGTGTGTGTGTGTGTGTGTTTAGACGTGGATGTGCATATATGTACTCATGGCACGGAGTACAAATGTACTTGTTGATGACCATGATGCATGAAGCAGTGGTCGAAATACCTTTTTTCAGTGCTCTGCAATATTGCAGAAGAGTCAAAATTTTTCTGCAATTTGGAAATACTTTCTGCAAATACACAAGCCTCTATACTACAATCTTGCAAGTTTATAAGCATGAACTATTGTTTGATATGCAAATTAGTGAAGACAAATTTTTTGAAGTCCAAAAGGAAACAAAAGATACACAAGTCAAAACAAGGTTGATGTAAATTAGTGAAGAAGCTCCTGTTGTTTCAGAACAGGAGCTTAATTGTCTGTCCTTGGGGCCAAGAGCACCAAATCCCAAGTGCCAATTTTTCCTGCTGCAAAATTGCAGATTGTATAAATTTTTCTTCTGCAATCTTGACAATCTATCTGCAGATTGCAGACTGCAGACAGGTATTTTGAACACTGATGAAGTATTTATCTACTGGCTGCTGAATACCAACCTCCAGTGCCATCTCCACGAGTGAAGTCGCCTCCCTGGATCATGAACTGTTGGATGACACGGTGGAAAACACTGCCGACGTAGCCGTCTGGTTTCTGAAGCAGAGAAACAGGAGTAAAGCCATCAAAAAGGAAGACGTCCATTGTAAAATTTGCCCTTCATATTCCCAACTTACTAACAAAGTATTATAAAACACAGTCACAATAAAAATCATCAAAAGTTATCCTGTCTAGTCAAATTCTTCCATAAAAGACCGACAGTAGTTTTAAAAAATCAGCTATTATAGCATGTCCACAACACACGTGTACCATGTAACGTTACACTGCTGCAGTACCATACAGAGTTGCTAGATTACCTATAATTCACCTTAACCTTTGTTGTCCCAACCCCAACCTACCTACCAAATATGCACATGCATCACACCCTGAGTTAACGTTACAGCCTTTGATAAGCTTGTGAATATAATATTAATAATCTCAAGGCAGATTTTTTCGGAAGGGGTTCTCTTTAAGCCGTACCGTACACGGCATAATTTCCATAGCATAATGTGAGCATTACAATATTTAACAATATCTGTGTCTGTGTGCTGTCATATGCATGTTACCAACTTGATGTTACCCACTTTTTGTCCGGCCAGTTCGATGAAGTTCTTGACTGTTTTGGGGACAGTCTTGCCGAACAGTCCGATCTCAATCTTCCCCGCACTCTCGCCTCCGATCTCGATATCAAACCAAACCTACAGTATACGGGGAGAAAGTTACATCTTTCTTACCATACCATCAGAGGAAAACAGGCGGTGCTAAAGCTGTTAGAGGCGGTGAAACTTACCCGATCAAACGTCTCTTTACAGTACTAGGATAATTTTCTGGCTGGAGTCTATGCATAATCAATATTTCTCTTTTGTCTGGACTTAAAAATTCGGCCATGTGCACGTCCACCGTCCACGAAAATTGCCTTGTCCAAGCGCTCGAGCCCCCCTCCCCACAAACATCAAAATTCTAACACTAACCACGTCCGTCACTTTGGGACCCTTAGCCGCCTCAGTCTCATGGTTTGGCAGCAGTAAGAAGACGACACAGGCCACGATGGCACCGACGACTAGAAGCACCCTCATGTTTCTCCGCACGAAGTGAAGCATACACTACTACTGCAAAAACCGGTCCCGAGGAAAATTATCATGGAGAGCTACGTGGCTAACCGGAAGTCAGCTGTGGTGCTGACACGCTATCGCTCTCTGATTGGCTGGCTGGGAGCACCGTCGGTGGTAACGTTAATGTGTCTGGCGATGATTGATACACACACGCTCCAAGCAGAGGGCGTGTTGAGAGGCATTTCTGTTGTCGTTCTGTGGTCTTCCTTTGGTTTCAGAATACCCAAGGAAAAGCTGGCAAAATATAACGCTTAACAGAACGACAAAACACCCCCCCCAAACGCTAAAACAAGCCTTTAACAAGAATTCGTAGATCTCATACCTCCATGAAATATTTACCTCCATGAAATGTGTCATGGAGGTTATCATGACCACGGGGGGTGCCCTAATTCCGACCTATGTTCCATGCAAACGCACATACATTTGGCAATAGTTTATCTGACCAAAAACCCGCGCAACATGAGCTATAATATTGGCAGATAAATATCACAACGATTAAAGCTGCACAGCTGTGTATTTCACTTGAGTGTAGCGGCTTGCACCGAAGCGTAATGGGTCGCGAAACGCACGACAGTTTTTTTGTCATTTTGCCGGTGGAACGTTCTATCGCAACAGGGGTGCCCTAATTCCGACCCAGTGTTTAACATAGGTCGATCTGAGAAGAGAGTTTAGAAATTATAATACACAAATTATGACTAAAACAATCTACAACTGTTTTTCTGTCCCAAACAAGTCCTCTTTTTACGATTACGCGACTTGCTCCAAAGTGGCTGTTTGAAAAGCAAAACCTGCATTTTTGACACGCTCGTCAACCCCCGAACAAGCGTCCAATTCACACAGATTTTTCACTCGTCTGTTGTCGGAGTGTACGAACTAAAACAAACTTAGTGAGATTACCGATATCAACACAAAAACATTGTCCATTCATGTGGTTATTTTCAGGTGCGTGCTCCCATGCATAACGCCGCAACAAAGATTTTTCAAACTAGTTCGGTATTAGGGATGGGTCGGAATTAGGACACCCCCCCACACACATAACTTTTTCAAGTCGACTAGAACTAGATCCTGAGCCCTGGTTTTACAACCAAATGATCTGAAATTCGGTATAAGGGTACCTTGAACATGTGTCTACAGAATAGCAGTCACATATTTGGCATACACCACTTCCAAATGACTCATTTGGGGGACTTTAATGGCTATTTTCAGCAAAAAAAGGGCCAAAAGTGCTATACCCGTTCCATGTTCTATCTAAAGAATGGCCTGTTCCATCTACCGTTGGCCATGGAACACGTGTTCCATTGCGGGTTACCTGAGGTCACATTGCACGTAAGTCGTGCGGAATGGCCCACACATTCACTTTTATGTGCCTAAGACCATCAAAATGTATCAAATCTCATCATTGTTAGTATTTGCATATCAGTAATAAGACTAGTAAAGCTTTCGAGATTCAATGTGCTTGTTCTTGCATCTTTGTTCTCAATTACATAGCTACTATATAATTCATTTATTTGAGAATCTTTGCCAGTTTTACACTGGGGTAAGTTTGGAATAGTCCACTTTTGCGTGGGAGGGAGATGGACTGAAATATGCTGTATTTGCTCCCAAGCAAATGTCGGCCTCTCTAGTTACTTCCATGAAATGTGTCATGGAGGTTATATTTACCTCCATGAAATGTGTCATGGAGGTTATATTTACCTCCATGAAATGTGTCTTGGAGGTTATATTTTCAGTTGCGTTTATCTGTCCGTCCGTCTGTCCGTCTGTCCGTCCGTCTGTTGGTCAACAAGATAACTCAAGAACGCCTGGATGGATTGGTTTCATACTTGATGTGTTGGTAGGGTGTGACGAAAACTGGAAATGATTAGATTTTGGTCCCCCTAGTGGCTTCCCTTGGTACTGCAGCGCAACTTCCGGTTTTGATATCTCGCGATCTGGACATGCTAGGGTCATTAAATTTTGATAGAAGGTAGCTCTCGTGCTTGGAAAGAAGTCATATGAGTTTGGGCCCCCTAGCGGCTTGTTCTGGAACTGCAGGGCATTTTCTGGCGAAATGTTTAAAAGCCAATAAGTCCAGACAGGAACAACATATTTTCATTATTTTTGGTGTGTAGGTAGCTGAGAGAGAGATGTACATAATTAAATGCAAATTATACAAATGAGGACTTTATTTGCATAATTAATGAGGAAATTCTATAATTACAGTGTTTTACATTATACTACTTACACACATGTAATGTATGTAACCTATGGCAGGCGGAACTTCAACAGATACTAATTATGCAAATGATGACCTACTTTGCATAATTAATGCAAAAATTCTATGATTTCATAATGGTGAATGATGAGAATGTCATACTTGGGACATCTGTAAGTTAATCAAAAGTTAACATACATCACGATGCATATATCATGTTAATGCAGAGGTCATTTGCACAATTAAAGAAGAAATTTACATTTACATATCAAGATCATATTTCATGGTGGTATGAGATCTCGGAATTCTAGTTGTAAATGTTTTTTATTTGTCTCATGACTATGGAAAGAAGGTTGTAATTAGCATAATCCAGTTTAAATTTATGGTTTTCTAAATTCAAATGACTATTTTTAGTGTAGAATTCCTCTCCTTTGTCATGCTTCATTTCAACATGTCCTCATTAATTATGCAAATAACCTCTAAATCAACATGATACATGCAAAGTGACTCACATGTCACCAGGTATAAAATTCCCATCATTCACCAATGAGTCACACAATTTTACATTAATTATGCAAATTAGGTCATCATTTGCATAATTGGTATTTGTTGGTGTTCCGCCCGCCACAGATTAAATAGATTAACTTACATGTATAGCAGTACTATTGTATAAACACTGTTATTATAGAATTTCCTCATATGTTATGCAAATTAAGCCCTCATTTGCATAATTTGCATTTAATTACTTACAACTCTCTCTCAGCTACATACATACCAAAAATGATGAAAATACGTTGTTCCTATCTTGGCTTTAAAAGTTTTTACCAGAAACTAACCTGCAGTTCCAGAACAAGCTAATAGGGGGAACAAACTTACACCACTTATTTCTGACAGGATAAGCTACCTGTCACCAAAAAATCAAGACCATAGCATGTACAGGACAAAACCCGGAAGTTCTGCTGCAGTACCAAGGTCATTCACCAGGAGGCCCATATTTGACCGTGACTGTCTTCCTAAGACTTACCAGCACAACCGTGTGAAGTTAAACATTATGCGTTTGTTTGCAAATGTTACCTTTCTAGTCATAGTAATATTCATACATATTGTATTATAAAAATATACTTTATTATAAGATATATCTAATAACAACAATCAGATATACCAGGAAACTTTCATTCCCGATTGTCCAATGCCACAATATACTGTGTGTCATATTACAATTCTCACTCACTCACTCACTCACTCACTCACTCACTCACTCACTCACTCACTCACTCACTCACTCACTCACTCACTCACTCACTCAATCACTCCCACTCACTCACTCACTCACTCACTCGCTCTCACTCACTCACTCACTCACTCACTCACTCACTCACTCACTCAATCAATCAATCACTCGCTCTCACTCACTCACTCACTCACTCACTCACTCACTCACTCACTCAATCAATCAATCACTCCCACTCACTCACTCACTCACTCGCTCTCACTCACTCACTCACTCACTCACTCACTCACTCACTCACTCACTCACTCACTCACTCACTCACTCACTCACTCACTCACTCACAGAAAATACTCCTGCAGAAACTCTGCTAGTTTCTAACCTGATCCTTTGTTGATTAAATGATCATAACCAGTTGTTTTAAAATATCTAAGTTTTGGGCCAAATTTAGCCTTTAATATAGATCCAAGCAACCATTATAATATGTATCAATGTGGTCATGTATGTTGAGAGTCAGTATGTTGATATTATTGTGTGCCTTGGATAATTTATTGTCATAATCCATCCATCCGTCCATCCATTCATCCATCCATCCATCCATCCATCCATCCATCCATCCATCCATCAAAATGGTTTATTAATAAACTCTTATCAATATCATCACGTTGCACAGAGAAAATTGCATTTCATTTAGTATTAAAATATTCGATCTCAAACTCTTGATTACACATAAGAGCTAAGTTTTGATATTCAATATTACGTTTTTGCCATTAGAGTAAAACGTGGACATTTTGATCTTGTTATTCAGATCAAAATTATAGCCTACTTTTATGAAATTGTTACACGATAGGTGTTAGAGGGACACTGACATTTTTCTGTATTTCTTCCAGGAGCTAGCTATATAGGATCACCCACAGTGGCCATTTAATGAGAAGTTACCTGTAAGTTAGTAATGAGTACTAACTAATGTCCTTTCCTTTATATCTATGGACCAGTTATGCTATTTGCGTATCAGAGGATTAAACTTGGGTTTTGGTTATTGCATGCTTTGAAGAAAATAACTTTAAATCACAGAACAAAGAGCAATTAACTTTATACACGCTGATGTGGTATCCCTATATTGCACAAACCTTATTTCATTTGGCCATCAATTCTTACCTTTGCCTTCGTCACTCTATCATTTTATAAACTGATGCTCTGTACCTTGTTACTCCATACACACTTGGCTTCACTCCAAATATTGATTTGTTGATACCAACATCACTAGAAAGAAACCTTTCTAAACCTAGTTTCACTATGGTCACACCTGTTTAATAGTTGTTGCTCGCAGATCGAAATATTTCAAGGAAAATTATACCTAATTTTTAAAAATTTATTCCAACATGTAATCACCAGACGTGGTGACGACACACTCAAGTTTTTTCAACTTATATTAATGCCGCCACCAACACTGAGGACAAATACATGACAGGACAATACTCATTTACACCTGAGCGAAGTGAGGAAAGTCGTGTGAAGTGCCTTTCCCAAGGGCACAAGATCGGTGGCCTGTCAGGACTCGAACCCGGGACTCTTAGTTCCAAGTCGCGCACTCTGCCGCTATGCCACACGACCCCACTAATTGTTGGTGTTGGTAGCAGGAACATGATTACAAGATTGTACACGACTTTTGCTCTTCTGCAAGAAAGAAAACAAATACAGTCAGTGTAGTGAACTCATGATATCAACAGAGCAGCCTATTAATAATGTAATATGTCCCGTATTGGTAACAATTAATGATAACCAATATGCGAGTACAAATTCTACAGGTACTTACTTGGAGTTGGGGATGTAGGTGGAGGTGGAGGTTGTTTCAGCTTTAGTTCATCCAGCTGACTTTTCATATCTGCCAGCTGCTCCTCCACCTCCTTAATTGTGTCCTTCAAACCGGATGCTTCCCTAGCACTGCGCTCCTGGGGTAGGGATTTGGCAACATAGTGCTCAATACACAGACATACAATTTTGGAAGTAAACATGTAATCGGTGTGACAGGGTTTCAACTATGTCAAAACATAATGCCGTGTGATTCTTTACGGAGATTTTCAACTTGCCATTAAAGTGTGATTTGCAGTTCTACATTTTTGGTTTGACGTTAGTCTAAGTCTATTTTTGTAATTCTTGGTATTTTCCGTGAGCAGGAGACCCTTGTACGCTTCTGTGCTCACTTGGCAATGCAACATTATTTCTCCCCGGTTACTGTTTTCAAGAAACTTGTCAACTTTCCTGTATTAACTTCACTTTATTGTTTCAATAATCATCATACAAAAAAAAAATACAAAAAAAAACTTTTTGAAACTTGAGTCTTTTGTCTGAAAACCCACCTCAGAATTCCTAATGAAGTGACATTACTACTTTTACTCACCCTTTCAATTTTTGCCTGTTGCTCCATCTTTGCAGCATGGAGGTCCTGGATCTTCTGGAGCGCAACTAAGTGTTTCTCCTCCATCTCTCGTTTCATCTGAAATCAATATAAGTGGCAATCAGGTTACAGGTGGTGACCAAAATGTTAGTACGTTGGTGGAGACCCGGTCAATGGCTTCTATCTGCTAGATGTATTAGACATACATTTAAGAACTGATGAATTTTCCTTTAAATATTTAATTCAAAGTACATATAATTTATCACATATCACATTATCACGTGCCTCATCAATCTTCTCCTTGTAAAACTCCTCCATTTTCTGCAGATTTTCCTGTTGAGTTTGATGCCTGTCCCGGGCTTGTCTCTGCATCTCCTGCTTCTCTCTTGTCAGCTCCTTAGCCATAACCTCTGCCTCATGTGCCTTCTGTTGCTCCTGCAATATCTAGAGTATCGAAAATGTTGAAATATGAAATGTTTTATATTCCACAAACATAAGAGTCAAACTTTACTAGATCGACCTATGACGTAAATATAATTTAATCACAACCAGAATCCAATGAGAAGGCAATCATCACAAGTCCCAGAAATACAAAAAAATTACCGCTCTCTGATAGCCATCGATCTTTTCAAAGTTGGTCTTCAGCTTCTCTATGTTTTGGGTCATCTCCTGCAGAACAATCCACTTCTCCGGACCACGTGCCTGCTCGTTATATAGCTGGCGTGCGTTATCCAGTTCCCCCAGCAACTGCTGGAAGTCATAGCCTTTGGGAGGTGACTCTACATGTTTCCTGCCGAATATAAGACCAGTTGAATACACAAATAACAAAATTACCACAAATCCCATATTTCCTATCTCAACTTCTTAGTACATGTAGTAATTTTTATAATTGTCAAATTCATGACAGAAATCGTTTTTACAAACACGGTTTACTATAATAATTATCATATTGAAGACGAGGGATCACAGTACTTCTGTGTCATTATAAATCCGAAGTTACCTAATTGGCTCCAGTAAGCGTTCAAAGAGCTCCTGGCAGAAGGTCTTGGAGTGTTATTTGTTCTGTTGGATGTAGCGAAGAAGCTCCCCGCCGATAACGACGAACCCCTTCTGTTTTCTGTTGCTGCCGTCTTCTGCTACGTAAGAAATTGTTCGCTCCTCTCTTTGAACTACAACAAAGAATTGTTGTAAATGTGGTATCGAACGTTTGCAGTTCTTAATTTTAGATATGGATAACTCCTGTAACTCTTAGATATAGGACGTTTGGTACGGGAAGTTTGCAACTTTGATTGAAGAATAAAATGGATTCATTACTATGGTGACAATACTTTCACGCACAATTGAGGAATGATAAGATGATAGCAATATCAAGACAAGGTGAAATCATTGACTGATGTCTTCTTGACATGACTGTGATTTTAAACAGAAATGTGTTTATCAAACTTTATGTCGTACAGGTAGTTACAGTCGTCGTCTATTTCACATTTTCAGAGTATAAGAAGCCTTGGTAGATGGAAAAGTTTTAAATGTGCTTACCCAGGCGTTTTTGCATTTGGTCAATCAAATTCTCGTTCTCATAGCTCCTCTCCTCTGAGCGAATACCAAAATGGCCGACCTTCTCCAGAAGCATGCCTGTGACTTTGTTCAACAGCTCATTATGGAGGTCGATGAGGGTAGGCTGGCTTGGAGGATTCCTGAGCAGAGATGATAAATTTGCACGAAATAATAAGACTGGTGTAGCCTATCCATGTCATTAATACCATAGAGTTATGAACTCTGTGCCATTGTCTGATTGATGTAGATTCAGGCACTCGGTGAAAAACCGCAGGAAATCATGTCTGTGTGGGGAATTTCACCTATGTTCTGAACACTTTTAAAAAATTTTATCATTGCGTAAACGCGTAAACGTCACCTTGTATTGTATTCCGCACCTTTCCCTCCACGTCCACTGGTCACCGGTTTGAGAAGTATTCCATTTTCTGGACATTCTTCCAATGGATCCCGCCAATTGTTCGTGGCTGTAGCAACCTTGGCCTACAGAATATACAAAGACCAACCCTAGTAACTAACACATACCGTTGAATACTAGAACATGACAATCAGGCTATACTGATGCTAAAGCCTGATCATGTAATTAGTGATATTTTAGTTCCCAACTAAATATACCGCAGTTATGTTGAATAGCGCTCACTTGCATCTGTTGGTTGTACTCATCGATCACCTCCTCGACAGCTCTGCCTCGCAGGAGTTGTACGGTGTTCTGCCAGGTGTTGTCCAGGGCAGGGATGGAGTTTGGATCATTGACGGCTTCCACATACCGTTCAACCATGATGCTGAGGGCCAATCCTAAACGGAAATTAAAGGCATAGATAGCGAAGCCAATTCGTTTCCCAGAATAAATCTGTATTCAGCGGCAACAAAACGAGGTTTTCTTTTACCATGACCATCAAGAAATAATTGTTGGGTGGGTGACATTGACTTATCCTTACCACTAACAGTTGATGCCTTGTTGTACCCCTCTTTGCGCGCGCATTGTGCAACAGCTGCTCGATGAGGGTGTGAACACCCTTGTTGAAGTTTGGATTCAGGATGTCTGTGTGCTGAGCAATGTTTTTCATCACCTCATTGTCCCCAGAGGGCCTTTCCAAGGTGGTACACTCCACCGACGGGAAGAATGTTAGGATGGCCCGCCCTACTTTTTCACTCTGTGATTCCTCAAAATCATCAGGATCACGTGCAAGGACCTAACATTAACGACAGTGTAAGACATTCTTATAACGAAGAAGAATATCTCAAGTTAGCAAATGTTCTCCACAGATCCACCATTACAAAACTAAGATTCAGTTGTCACAAATTCCGAATCGAATCAGGAGACCTATTAGCTAACCGCACTCCTCTGGAGCAAAGATTCTGCCAATTTTGTAGTCTAGGTAGAGTAGAGGACGAAGTGCATTTTACCGTAGATTTTCTTTTATATGACAGATACATACTTTTCGGTCATATTGAAAATAAATTTCCACACTTTAGATAAAAATGTATACTCCAGTTAGCCTTTGATAAACCAAGTTTAACTTCTTATACAGCGTCATACATTTATACAATTACCAAGAAGCTGGAGGAAGTTGAAAAGACTAAGAATACATTAGGTGTTTATATATACATGTAAAAGTTAATATATATACATGACTTATGTATTTGAATATGTACATGATTGTTATCATGTGGCCTGTGCTTAGCCAAGTCGGGCAAACATGTACAATAAAGGTCTTCAGTCATCATGCCTGTTGCCATCTCCACATGAATATATCATATAAAGTCTTACCTTAGTCTTCAGGTACTCGCTGGGAACCATTTCTTTACCGTCCTCATCTTTCATATCTAGAGACACGTCACGTAACAGCCACAGGAAGTCTGGGAAGAACTGACGGAACAGTGAAGTCTGTATCTTCTTCTCTCCTTGTTTGACTGTGACTCCTTTAGCTAGGCGGATGAAACACCTGGTGAAATGTTAAACAAGGCACATGTCAGGGTTTTTATGTATGATATATATGTGTATATATATATGTGTGCTACATCTACTCACTGCATCTTCTCCAGGTCTCCCTTGTACGGCAAATTTTGGGAGTTGTAGATGAGTTGGGAGGACAGCAGAATGATCAGTACAAGGATACTGGCGTCCTGGCCTGCACTGGCACCTACTGTGTCTGAAATTTTTAATGATGTATTGAACAATGAAGAAGGGTATCGTGGTAATACTTTTCTGTACTATTTAGACTTTCATTGTAATATAGTACGCTTAAACCTTGGGTAACGAATTCGCACAAGGAGCAGCGTGCGAAACTGTTAGAGATTTACGAAATGGTAAGACAAAACAGTATGCGGTGTTCGATGAGCCTTTTTACTATCACTACTAACATCCGTGTCCATAATATCACCAGGGTCCATAATATCACCACCTTGAGAAACAGTGTGCTTAAAGATATTTTTACTGCAACATACTTTTGGTATGTACTCCTTCACACCTCAAATGTACATACCTAGGGTATGTTGCAGTAAAAATATCTTAAGCAGGCTTTTTCTCAAGGTGGCGATATTATGGACCCTGGTGATATTATGGACATGGATGTTACATGTTGTGTTACAAATTATATACAGTGCGACAACAATGTGACAACAAATTTAAACCAACCTGCATTCCATCTATAGAGTAGTTTTAGTCTTCTAAATACTACTGAATGCACAGCCCTAGCTAGTTAGCTAGAAGGCCGGCTAGCGTTTCACACCTTACGTACCTATTCCTTCTGTGTCCAGCAGCACGATAGTGAAGTCCTTCCCTCGCAGCACCTTGGTGCCCATCCAGATACCAAACGTCTGGGGGTCCATGGAATGGCCCAGCTCAAAGGCATCAGCTGTACCAAGTAACCTAACACCGACGGTTTCAAGAATCAGTGTTTTACTTCAACTTCAACTTTAATTCAGCTTCAAGGTTGCTACAATTAAAGTAGCCAATTAAAGGTAATCTTCATTAAATTATATCAAAATTCAGAAAACTAACTAAGGGTATACCCCAAGTTATCGGATTGAAATGAAGTATAGACTCAGTACATTCATTCTGTAGCTGTATTGGCCAGTTTTTTGTAAACATTCTATCTGGTTTGTAAAGCTTTAGTAACAAAAATCAACCTGTACTTACTAGTAGGGTTATAACAAGCGGATTGAAAATCATTTTTAAATTTGCAAGACAATTGACATAATTGTCAATTAAGATTGCAACAGGTAGACAATTAATATTTTTAACACAGGAGACAAATACAATACTCATTTTCACCTGAGCGAAATGAGGAAAGTCGTGTGAAGTGCCTTTCCCAAGGGCACAAGATCAGTGATATGTCAGGACTCGAACCCGGGACCTCTTGGTTCAGAGTCGAGCACTCTGCCGCGTTACACCACACGACATGGAACATTACCTGGAGAGGATATAGCTTTTCCCAGTCCGACAGGGCCCGCAGATTGCCAGGACGCTCACGGGCTCCTGGATCCCCTCCAGTAGAGCCAAGGCCTCGGGAACGACATGCAGGCTTGTCCGCTGGGCGCCACGAACCTTCTCGACTCCGCCCGTGGCTGCGTTGTACTTCATGTCGTTTGGCAGGATGAGCGGGATGGACGAGCCCTGGACTGTTTCCCTACCTGCTGGCGGCTTCAGCTCCTCCACCTTGAAACCGAGCTTGGAATGTAACAAGGATATGTCTCCTGCAACATATAGACAGCGATAGTCATAGTTAAAATCATGCACGTTTTTTTGTAGTACGCATGAAATCGTAGAAACGCAGACAAAGTCTAAGAATTGCATGCAACTCTAGGTGCCTGTCATAAGCTGATACTTGATGGATAATCATTATATGAATCAGGTAGAATGTTTGTTCTAAACAGAGACAGTTGTCCATTATTAGTTGTCCATTATTATGCAGAGACATAAGAAAATACCAAATATGATCACCATTCATGGTATGCATTATCTCACCTAGAGAACCAGTCACAACTTCTTCAGTTATGCCTGTTAGCCACAAACAAATAAATGGAACAGAAATCGAGTTTTTTGGCAAAGGTTACATCATTGTGAAGAATACAACAAAGTCTACTTACTCTGCATCTGATCCCTCTCCAGATCCTCAACCTCCTTTGCTAGGTGTGTTTCATCAAGAGCTCTCAACAGGTCCTTGAGCAGTCCAAGATTTCCCTTACCGAATTTGCCATCAGCCTCCAGTATAATAAACATTTCATGTGGTGTCTTATTTTCAATTTTTCCTTTGGCAATATGATGATCAGTGATCAACAAATCTCGCAAACTTTTCACTTGGTCTTCAGTTAAACTTTGACTAATCTTCAAATAAAGCTTGTTACGGCGGGATAGCGAGTTACCCTGCAGAGACTCCATGGTGGCGGCCGCTGTGAAGAACAGGAGGATATTGTAAGTATAAGGAGGTTGGAGCAAACCACCAAGGTGCAGCTTTTCATGGGTAATTTGGCCGGTGTCCAACAGTAACAGCTATGCTGTGCGTCCCATTGCGTAACTTGGCTCCATTCCAGCAAAGGCTTGTAGCCCCGTCCCAGGGCCCCAAACGAGTCCTAATCCCTTTCTACTCTACCCCAAAGAACAAGATTGTTCATTCTATTCAAGAATCGACTCTTCCATCGACACCCACACAGAAATTGACGTTTTCATTTAAACCCTAGTTAATTATTTTTTTTAACTGCTCCCTATTCATGAAAGTTAAGCCCAAACCAACGTCTGCACAACAATTTTGTCGTCTATGCAAGTCATTGTGTTGATCGCTTGTGCCTCGTCTGGTTGTCCTTGTACTTTGGTCTTTGCGCTCTGGTGTATGTAGGGAGGCAGTTTGTTGTTCAGCTGGGCTTTGTAGACGTGTACGGAATGTACTAGCCTGTGTTTACACAGTTTCTCTACCTTAAGCTTCGGTCACAACCCGCCATACGTGCTCCTGCGTGCTCTCTACGTGCAAAAACGTGGGCAAACGCAGGGCATCCGTGCGTGGTGAGTACCACCTCCGTACGGAATCCTACGGATTTGGGAGCACGCAGACACGCCGTAGAACTTTAAGTGTTAGTGCATGTAAAACTTTTTCTGTGCGCGGTCTACGGATTCACCACCCGTGCGTGCAAGTACGGGCGACGCGCGTGCCCCGTACGTACCGTACGAAAGACGCACGTGTGAGTACGGCCTCGAGCTCCTTACGGTAAAGTTGCAATCGCACAGAGATCGTACGTTGTAAGCACGTACAACTCACTTACCACTTGCGCAATGTACGATGCACGCAACCGCTCACGGCCAGACGTGGCGTGCAGACCCCACTCTTACACCTTGCGAAACCGTGTGAGTGACGTGCGTCGACGCCACTCCTTCCCCACGTTTTCAGAAAAAAAACGTAGCGGACGTAGCCTCCCAAAAAACGTACGGACAAAAAGCACGTACGGCGGGTTGTGACCGGGGCTTTAGAGTTAACGGGGGCGCAACCGTCGGCATAACCTGGTATCCAGTCTATCGCGGTTAGGGCGGATTTTACTCGGGGCTGCTGAAGCTCTTCCCCGCCCGTCTGAGCCTCACGACGATCTAATCAACTCGAAACATGCCAAATTCTGTGACAGGTCAGTTGAGCTGGACGAGGAAAACTATTAGAGCCCGAAGACAGCCTGCCCCAGCTACGATAGACTGGATACAGGCTACCGTCGGTGTGATGTAGTTAGGCTAGGCATTGCGGTATTGGTGTGGTACTCTCCAAGCTTGGCTTATTTCTGACGTTTAAGGCATTTTTATTAGGCTTTCTTTTTTGTGTCAGCTCCTTCGGGTGACAACTGGTAAATTTCTGATATCTTTACTGACGGGACAATTTGATAATGTTTTTGCAGCCACCGAAAATCTCCTTGTAGATTATCTTTCCATCACAGACAAGAGAACACTTCGGTTGATGGTGTAACGAGTGGGGTTTTCACCGTCAGTTTCCCAGCCCGATCCTGAATCATTTAATTTGTGTGTTCTGTAAGTTCTGATCTGTTGCAGTGTTCCATGCTCTGAAGGCATGTGTTATGTGTGGTAGAAAAAATGGCATTGTACAGAAGGCAGCCATTATATTGTTCATTAATAAGCAAACTGCGATGCTTGTCAAATACCATGGCTATCTATGTAAAAGGTACAGTGTTGACATTTCAACGGCTGATGCTGTGGACAGACAGGTTGAAGGCATTGACTCCACGACTTTCTCTATGTGGTTGTCGCCAAACGTTCAAGTTTTTATCTGAAGATCTGATAATGCAGTTCAAAGCAAATACAGAACCGCTAGATATCGGAAGAGTACACTGTTTAGCTTATGTTTATATCTTAATATATATTCATGCACCAGCCACCGCCACATCGCTATCAGGGAAAAAAAGAAACCCCCATTTACAATAACGAACTATCTTTCATGGAATTAGTAAATGCACCACACATTTGATGCCTGGGGACTGCTACACACAACACATTTTCGAGGTGCACTAGACCACTAGACAAGTCCAGATGGTCCATATGACGGCGCTCATCTCCGTTGCAATAACCCTTGGGCCACAACTCAAGTTGTGTAAAGCACTACCGTAGGAGGCTATTCCGCTGAATAGCGGGGGGGGGGGTGTCCAACTACCATATCCTTTAAAGAATAGTACAAATAATAAATGGACTGAGAGAAATCAGTATATGACCTTTGGTACGACCACTGGTAGGTTATGCGTAATGTCAACCTCGAGTCAAACTACGTGAACTAGAGTAGACATTAAAATCAGTAAAATACAGCTCACCTTACTATTTCCAGTTGTTTCGTTGTTTTCTTCGTCTTCCTCAGCTTTCTCGTGCAACCCGGTACTCATAAGCTACTCAGCGAAGGATTGCTTGCTGCTTTCTCCGGTCCGGTCGTTTTTGCTGCTAGAACAGTCACGTCCGCAATCTAACAAGTGCAGCTTCAAATCCAGTACTTGGTATCACTTCACTTAAACGATCATGAGCGTTAACAGGGCTTCCAGACACTGTCAAACTTAGCCACAACTTCGAATACTTTCTCCTCCTAACGACGAAAACCACAGAATGTGTCACGGTCTTGCAACGGACTTATACTTATAGACAACGCTGTGCAAAGTCCCCTTCAAGGCGAAAGTCCATGCGTCACTTGTACAGGGGGAAGGTCCCATAGTTGTTTTTTGATCCATAAAAAGCTTTTGTCACTTATTGTTAAGGTATGAGGAAACGTTTTTTTTCATATTCACCATTTATTGTATTTCATTTTATTCACATAATATACTTTTTTTACGATTGGCCAAAAATGAAGCGTTGTCTATGTCGAAAGGAAGAATATTTCACCATATGGTAAACAATTTACACAATAAGTTAGTAATCATTGCAAGTTAAGGCCGTTTTGGAAGCCATTATAGACAATTAGCATATAGCCGGGTGACGTTGACCAATCACGTTTAATAACGTCCCTTTTAATAACAGCATTTGCTTGTCGAATTCGGCTTTAGGAGTTTCTACCAAAAGCTTCAGAGTCTCCTGAATGCGACCACACTCTTTTAGAATATACGGTGCTCTCCCCGGGTCCACACTGATGCTGTGTTGATTCAGCACGTACAGCTGACAGGCGACTCCCACTACACAGGGATACAGCACGTCCCACTCGGCCGCGGTAAGCGGGCGGACGGACTCAAATCCTGCAGGAAAAAAAGAATTAAAACTACAAACATTCGACACAGAACAGCCATCACAAAACTCAGGATTAGTTCACACAAACTCCACATAGAAAAAGGCAGACACAACCGCATTCCTCTGGAGCAAATGATTTGCCAATTTTGCGATTTAGATAAGACTGAGGATAAGTTTCATTTTGTAGTCGATTGTACGTTATATAGTAATGAGAGAGATCCCCTGTATTCTTATATAATAGATAAGTTTGGACATTTGGATAGCTTTGGACATTTAAATGAATCAGAAAAATTCATATTTCTCATGAAACTTGACAAACCATGTATCATTAGTTCTATATGCTCGTACATCTATAAAGTTCTGCGTCAAGAAGAAGTTGAACATGTAAATAGTAGACCAACATTAGTATGTATAGTTTAAGTATCATTGCTGTATCCTTTCCCTTGTCTATTCATGACCTGTACTTCGCTTGTTAGAGCACAAACGTGCACTAAAGGTCATTCATTCATTCAATTAAACGGATCCCATGCAATTTCTGGGTGGCAAAATGAGCAATATTCTGGATGAGGACATTTGTCTGATACATGTATTAACATTTACTGCATTTTTCGAGCACCTTTTTGTCATCATTTTTTAACAAGCACCAATAAATAACTAGACCCAGCCTACGATATGAAACAAGCAATAACTACCGTTTTCTGTTAGCGACATCGCATTTTTGTGTCACATTCACCAATTTCACACTTCCCATAATGCCTAGTAAAGATCACGGATATGACGTAAGACCAACCCCCTCCCCCTTCCTCGATGTAATATTTCCAACAAGTTCTCATCGGCAAACCGGTCAACTATATTGTTCTGAATTATTTATCTGGTATAAAGCACATGCCATAATGGCATTTTTGTTGGAATTTGAGAAAATGACGTACCTTCTATCGTTCTACCTTCTACCGAAGACTCTCCTTCCTGCGGCACGGTCGCATTACGTATATCCCCTTCTTACGTCATATCCCATCCATATCCGTGATCTTTACTAGGCATTGTGGGAAGTGTGAAATTGGTGAATGCTGGTTATCAGTAGCCTGCCTGCCTTCACAGAGCGGAGGAACGGAGCGGAGACAAAGCGATCACGGATGGATTCCAGGCTAGGTTATCTGTGTGCTATATATATATATAGGATAGGGGTGATTCAACTTTACTTCACTGAAAAAAAATGGCCAGAAAATTGATCATTTTGCTACCCTATTTGTACGAAAGTACGAAAGTACGAAAATGCAAGTGTTTTCTCGAATGGTTGGACGTTACTATGGTCCAAATGTCTTTCCAATCGGTTACTTGTCACACGAAGTGAATAGGCAAAGCTATCCTATAGTCATAACCGATTTTAATTTTCTGATAGCCTGATGTCCAGTTTATCGTGATTTGCGCAGGCTCTCTTCGGGGCTCTAATACCCCACCCCCCCGCCCAGCTCCGACGGAACCCGACGGAAACCCTCCCAACCACGATTGTCGCTCCAATTTTCTCTTTAAAAATCAGAGAAATAACAATCAAAATTGGTGTGACACCTAGACTTTTAGTTTTGGATACTTCAGGCTTCTGTGATGATGAATAACAGTACTATCGATAGACTGGACACCAGGCTATTTTTCTGACACGTGGTGTCGGAAAGGAAAGTAGGCAGCTACAATTAATGCTGAGGTCACAATTCCCACACGGGGCCCGGCCGGGCAGCTTTTTCGAACGAAAAATACGATATAAAAGACAACAAAACACAGAAAAGTTTCAAATCACAATCATAAGCACTATTTCTGTATATTCTTGATTTGAATTGTTAATTTTTCGTTCATACAAACATCCCGGTCGGGCCCCGGTTTGGAAATGTGACCTAAGCATAAGATACCAAATGAGGCAAATCGGTACCTCTCAGAAAATATCCCGAGTAAGCTATAGGGTCTTGTTCTGTTGCCAACATCATGTTCAGGAGAGAGATCGCCACATCGAACACCGCAGGGTTCCAGGTCGCGTCGCCAAAGTCCAGCAGACCACAAATCTCGTACCTTCCCTCTGCCGAGTTTGTCGTCTTCTCCCGCACAAGGATGTTCTCGCTTCTGAAATCTGCATGGATCGGTCCTAAGAGGAAAACACAACAACATCTTTCAAGGGTGGAAGGACACATTTTGACCTACTATACGTTCTCTTTCTGACGGTGCTTTAAAACTTCCCCTACTCAATTTAGGATCCCCTTTTTGCTCTTCTACTATTAATTGTAAGGCCACACTGCCTTAATTTTATGGATGACATCCACGCGCGCATTGATTTTCGTCTGTTCTAAAAAAAAAGATCATGTCCTTTAGAGGCTCTGACCTGGATAGTCCATGGTAGCGACAATACGGAGCCGGTGGTAACTCTGGAGGATGGCACCCAGGCTGCCGAAGCTCCACGACTCCACGACCTCAGTACATACGTAGTGTCGATTCATAAATCCGCAAAAAGCCAGCATGTGCCGGCTTGTCGTATATGTGCTATGTTCTGCCGCAGTTCCGCCGCAAATTCACACTACCAGCTTTGGCTTTGTATTCCTGTGGTTTAGTAGCATTTTTATTTTTGGCCGGATTTTTATTTTATTCGCCCGCGCGCACTAGTTCGGGGGTCTTCAGAGGATGTCATCCATAAAATTAAGGCGGTGTCGCCTAAGACTTATTATGAGTCTAAATCGGGATTTATTTTATTACCAAGCTGCTTGATTCATACGATTAAAAGTACACATATCTATTTGTTAGTTTAAATGTATTATTATATCTTTCTATTGTGCTTAGATTGCGGTACTGATATCGGTTCGTTGTAATTTGAGTGCGTTTTTGTCTGTCAGTACTTCTTTATTTATGATTTAATACAAAAGAAACACCAGATTAACATTTAGGTTTTCTTCAAATTTTGTATACATTTAATTTATTTCTTCATAAAATATTTTTTACTTCTTCATAAAAAATGATTAATTGAATGAACTTGAAACTTAAGATTAACACAAGACTAGAAAGGCCGACATTTGCTTGGGAGCAAATACAGCATATTTCAGTCCATCTCCATCCCAGTAGTTTTTGTCCGTTGAGTGCCCAACCGAATTTCAGATCATTTGGTTGTAATACAAGGGCTCCGGATCCAAAAATCCATTTTTTTGTCGAAAAATGCCCAAAAAATCCTTCATAAAATTTTTTCAAAGGCATGTATCAAAAAAATGAAAAAAAAAACGCCGGGGGGGTTTGGCCCACTCTACCTCCATGCTAAATTTCAAGTCTTTTGGTGAACAAATGACAGAGTTGAATCCATTTGAAGAAATGGCAGGAGAAGGAGAAGAAGAAACATGGTATGGACTGAAATATAAAATATCATAAAACTCAAGACAAGATGACCTTGCGTAGGTCTTCCATTCGGGGCAGCACTGTCTCAGAGAAAAGGTCGAGCGCCTTG